ACGCTCGGGGGAAAGGGGCGTGGGAAATCGATGCAGGAGACGGGCAGGAAGGCATCAAAGAGCCCTGAAAGCAGTCGGCAGCCCCTAGGCAGTGAAGGCAGAAAGCAGCACTATGGAAAGGAGACCACTGGTTTGGTGACCAAGTGAAGACCCTAAGGTAGGAAACACTGTGCAAAAAAAAAGGGAAGGGAAAATGGAAAAATTAGCTGAATAAATCTATGGTGAGAACAGCTGGATGGGCATCTCTGGAGACTGAGAAAAAACAGAAACAGAATGGAGAGATCATCATCATCTGTCCGTGCTTGTAATGATGACAGATATGACGGACTGCCCAAGCCAAGCGTTCGCGGTGCCTTCGCCTCGCAGCGCAGAGCTGTCTCTGCAGCCGCTTCAAGCCCAGAGGAAACCTGCCCTCCTTTACCAACACCTCCTCTGCTTTTATCTGCAGAGCAGTATTAGATTTTGCTTCAGCGTTTGAATTTCTCACCATGGTGGTGGAGATGCACAAGGAGCTTTGCCTGGAAACTGGCCCGTGTGCGAGTGGGCACAAGCTGGGGCTCGGTGGCCTTTCAGCCCCTCAGAGTCTCCAGAGTAGCATTTGCCACTCATCAGGTGTTACGTAAGACCTGCCACCTGCCTTTGCTGGTTGGTCCCTTAGCTTTTTATTGCTACATTTCTCTGCACTAATGATTCTGTCTTTTGATATTTTGTTCAGTTTTGTGCACGCTTCTTCTGTTGAATCCTAATCCATATGATTTCAGGGTAGGGTTAGAGTCTCTGTTCTCTTCTGGTTTTCAGCATTTTGCAAGTGTTGCTCATACAGACTGTCTTGTGTCAGGTTCTCCTTCCCACTCTCGCCGCAGGATGAGAGGAGGGAGTCTCACGTATTGAAAACTGGAGGCAGGGCAGGAAGCAAAAGGTAAGACTTACTGCTCAGTTTTCAGGATGGAGAGCAGGCAGTCAAAGAGTGCCTGGCTATAGGATAGATGATGGGACTGGCTCATTCAATATTTTCAGTAAGAAACTGAAGACAGGAGCATGCAGTGAAATCTCCAGGTTTGCACATGGTAGTAAGCTTTTGCAGATGAGAAATTACTTAATAGGACCTCACAGAACTGACCAGGTGAGCAATGAATCCATAAGCAGATACTAAAACACTCTATTAGGCAGATAATCCAACATATCAACGTAACAGCTGGAGATGCTGTTGGGTACAGGACGGGGCTGGGTTCACATGCCCTCTGAAAATAGCACCACAACTGCCTCTGTGGGAGACATGGCAGGTGGCGGCACCACTGCCCTGATGCTGTTGCTAATGTCTTTGCTTCTTACATGCACTTTCATGCATGGACCCAAAATACTTTCTATTTCTAGTGCTCACTCTGAGGGTCAAATTCCCAGGCGGGTCCTAGGCTTGCAAACTCAGTCCCCAAAGCCAGTAGTGCTCATCTCCCTCCTTGTGTTCCTGGTAGCTGACCTGCCAGGTGGCACTTCGAGGGCCACCAAAACGGTAAAGGAAGGAAGGTCCAGAACACATTTGGCCTCCTCCTTCTCCATTGGCAGCCCTTCAAGAATAAAGGTCTACATAAGAGAGAGAAACCGCTGATTAAATCTCTGCTTTCACTGCCTGGCCTTTCCCTGAACGTCTGTGGGGCTGGGAAAGCAGCCTTTCATGGCCGAGATCCCTCAGCTTTCCCTTCGTCCTCCCCAGCCTGCCGGGAGAGGA